CAATAATTTTTTAAAATGAAAATTTCAAATAAAATAATAAATTCCCATGTACACAATTATCAAATGCCCAGTCTTGTTTCATCTATACATACCTCCAATCCCCTCCACCCAATGGCTTTTCTGAAGCCAATATGGAATTTTTTAAAGAGTTTAGAAAGTTCTCATTTTAATTTAAAAATATCCATTTGTAATCAGCATAATTGCCAAAAAAAAATTGTTAAAATCCTTTGAAATTGTTTCTTAAACTCTACTTTGATTCCGTAACCTTAATTTCCTCATAAGCAAACCCTTTCCTTACAGATGATACAAAGTAAGTAAATCTCAGCCCCGTTAAACTTTCATGATCATAAATTCTGATTAGAATCAGCTGAAGGGCCATCTAGCTAAATATTTACTATACAAAATACAATGAACGAAACCAGCAAAATATCTCAATTTTCTACTTTATGCTGAGAGGGAGGCACAAGGAGAGAAAAAAGATGTAAGGAGCCAAGTTACAGCAATGACCTCACTGGCTCCTTGGGGCCCTGAAGGTATCCCTCTTTGTACCCATAGGGGACAGGAGCTTGCCCAGCCTTGCCTGTGCTGCCTCTTCACTCTTGTCTCAATCAGACCAACTCCATTTTGATCTGTTCTACATTTTGGACTTCTGCTCCCTCCCTCCCTTCCTTCCCCTCTCACTCTTCCTCCTCCTCCCTTTTTATAAAGGAAAAGAATATCCACTCTTTAAAAAAAAGTTGAAAATCTCAGATTTAGTTCAGCAACCCCTCTCATTTTTTAAGGAGGCCCCTTAAGTCCAAGATCATGCAGCTGTTCTAGAAAAGAGCTAGAAAAAGAAATGTAGAGAATTTAGCTGTAGCCCAGAAGTTCACTGAGAAATTATTTAAAACTAAGTAGAAACCTTCTGCTAAACTGTGAAGTCAAGGTACCTGAGCGCTGCACACAGGTCAAGCAGCCGCAAACCTGTGCAGGTACAGGAAGCAGCAGCCAAGGAGGCTCAGCGGAGGGCATTATTGAGATAGGCTTCATGTGATGGCAAATCTGCCTATGGAGTGTGATGCTGCAGAGCCTAAGGAACTCGCACCACCAGCTGAAGAATTCAAGGTAACTGGGAGGCTGTCCAGGGGGTCCTCAACAGATGCACTGCACAAGTCTAATAACTCATCCAAATGCTGCACAGGCCAGCGCCCCAGAGCAGACGGCCAATTTCACATCCCAATAACACAGCTGGGGAACACTG